AAAAGGCCAATGCAATTTTAGGCTGCATCAGTAGAAGTATAATGTCTAGATCAAGAGAAGTAATAATGCCACTCTATTCTGCTTTGGTCCGGCCTCACCTGGAATACTGTGTCAAGTTCTGGGCACCACAATTCAAAAAGGATGTGGAGAAACTGGAGCATGTCCAGAGGAGGACAACTAAAATGGTGAAAGCTCTGGAAACCATGAATCCCTATGAGGAATGACTTAGGGAGCTGGGATGTTTAGCTGGAGAAGAGAAAGTTGAGAGGTGATATGATAGCCGTGTTTAAATATCTGAAGGGATGTCATATTGAGGAGGGAACAAGCTTGTTTTCTGCTGCTCCAGAGATTAGGACCCGAAACAATTGATGTAAGCTCCAGGAAAAGAGATTCCGCCTCAACATTAGGAGGAACTTCCTGACAGTAAGGGTGGTTCGACAGTGGAACACACTCCCTCAGAGAGTAGTGGAGTCTCCTTCCTTGGAGGTCTTTAAGCAGAGGCTGGATGGCCATCTGTCGGGGATGCTTTGATTGGGAGTTCCTGCATGGCAGGGGGTTGGACTGGATGGCCCTTGTGGTCTCTTCCAACCCTATGATTCTATGATTCTATGATTTTCTTCCTGGTATCCAATTGAATAACATATGCAAACATTCATTATTTGGTGGAGGAAATGAATATGTTAGGATTGTGTACAGAAATGCATACATTTTATTTCCAAATTTTAAAAAAGCACAGAGTCCTTGGCAGGAAATAAACCTAGGGTGTGACAACTTGATATGGGCCAAAGACAAGATGAGAAGACAACTGGGATTTGGAGAAATAATGAAATTGGAATTGAGAAGTTTTCACATTTCTACTTTCAGGAGACCGCATATAACATTGCTGTTAGAGAAGAAATGAGCTGGGCCTCATTTGCTATTAGACATTTCTAGCTTTTGGCTAAAGTAGTTCTTTGCTGGTATTGTGCATGCATGTGTGCGTGTGCATGCATGCTATCCCAGCATCAGATAAAAATTTGTACACAGTAAGAGGCCTCACTGCTTTCAAATCCTAATTAATGCTTTCATGGAAGGTGCTTGCTTTTACTGGCTCTGAAGCAGCTGTAATTCTGACAGGCTAATAGATGGAGGGAAGCTATGTTGATGTAGTGTAGGTCTGTTTGCGGCCTTCCCATTTGAAAGGATATATTAAGGTTGGATCCAGATTACAAATGTTTAATCTGGCAGAGAGATGTGGTGGCCGCTAAACCAAATATTGTGTCATTAATATAGCACTATCCACAAATGGGACTGGCGACATATAATGCTGTGTCTGTGGATCTATTCATCAAATTGCATGTTGGGTCCTTAACTAACCCCATTCTGCCTAGGTACACTCATCTGTTGAATACCTAAATACAACAGAATGAGTTATGGCTGTATTTTTAGTCTTTATTCTAAATTCACAGGCATTTGTGGTCACAAATAAGATTTTTACTACCATGTGACTAAAGATTTTTCCAAGGTTTAGTGGAAAGTGCATGCTTTTAATTTCATTTTATTGAATTGTGTTTTCTTTCTTTCTTTTTTCTTTTCTTTTTTTTACAATACTGCTATTAAAAATAGAAGCATACTTCAAATACATTTGAGTTGACATGATAAACCATAATCACACAGTTTAGCAGAGCTGATTACAGAGATGCATGTGCTTCAAAATGAATGTGGACTCCTACAATCTTTTTAGACTGCTACTTATGTTCATATACTACAAGATAAAGTATTATCTCAAAGGAGACCACAAACCTTTGGCACATAAGAAAACTGAATAGTAACAGTTAGAAAAGAAAATACAATAGCCAATCTGCAATCACAAGTTGGGAATCTGTGGCTCTCCACATATTGCTGGAATACAACTCATTAGCCATCATGATTGGGGCTGATAGGAACAGATGTCCAACAACATTTGCAAAGCTGCAAGCTCCTTATTGCTGAAAATTTGTATTTTGCTCAGTGTGTGCTGTCTGTTTAAGACCAAATTTGTTTCCATCTCTTGAACTGTATCAAACATTGTATGAGCCACACATTGTCAGCCACCAACAAATAACTACAGTATGCTGCTGTTATTGTTTTGTTGTTGTTGTTGTTTGCCTAATGTCATTTTTGACTTACAATGACCCTAAAGTGAGGTTTTCTTGGCATTTTTTGTTCATTTTTTTGGGGTGTGTGTGTGTGTGCCTTTTTCTCCCTTTCAAGCTGAAAGTGTGTGACTTGCCTAAAGTCATCCAGTGGGTTTTCATGGCTGAGAGAGGATTCAAATCCTGGTGTCTGGAGTTTAGAGCTCCAGATATACACACTGTATGTATAGATATCAGAAGACAGGTTGATGTGCTATGTGCAGCATTGGGTTGGAAGCATCTGGAATAATTGTGTCCTGATCACCTATCATCCCAATATGGTTCCCATGACCCAAGGCTGGTTTACTGAGACAGCAGATTTTCCCCTTTGAACTGAAGTGCAATCTGAAGATGTCTGTGTGTAAGTAAGAGCCATTGTGTTCACTGTTGATGACTCCTAAGTAAGGGAGTGTGGGATTGCTGATTTGAGCAAATCTGCAGATCAGAATTTAGCTTTCTTTTTTGTCCTTTAAAACCTGTTTTCAAGGGATATATACCATATATATTCAACTATGCTGACATCATGTATAAGTAGAGGGTACATTGTGGAGCCAAAATTGGGGATTTTGATATGACCTGTGGATGCGTTGAGGGTAAAATATGGTGGCTTCATTGCCATTGGGGGCAATGGGCTCAAAGTGGTTCATTATTTAAAATACCGATGCAAATCAAATATAAGGGCTTGAAGGAATTGGAAGGGGAGGATAAGCAAAGTAGACTCAAAACAAGTAAAAAAAAAAAAGTAAAATAGACTCACAACAGACAAGCAGAGTGCCCCCACAAAGTCGTCCTTTGTTATTGGACTCCACATGCGAGTTCTGGTCCCATTACTCCTGGACCCCAAAACTCCAGAACGTGTCTCTGATACCTGCAGAAACCTCCTCAGGCCTGTGTTTACATGAGGCTGGGAGGGGGCCTTGGCCTGTTTCCAGGCCAGGATACAATCTCAGCCTAGCGTCAGCGAGTGTGTACCTGCATAGCCTCTCCTCTTCTACTGCATCATTCAGCTCCAAGCAGCTGGGGGCTTTGGTAGGCCGTTGGCCTTGTCTCCCTGTCATGTCCTCCTCCTCCTCTTCCTCCTCTGTCTTAGCCATTAGGACAATGGAAGCTCCCAGGCCATTCAAAGGTGAACAACGTGGCAGTGGAGGAGGAGGCTGTGGCAAAGAAATGAAGGCTTTGGCGGGTGTCCAGCCTTGTCTCTGCCATGTCCACCTCCTCCTTCGCTGCCACCACTGCATCAACCATTAGGGACAATGGGATCCGCCAGACTGCTTGAAGATGAACAATGTGGAAGAAGATGAGGAGGACAATGTGGTGGGTGACTATCCTTGTCTCTTTGCTGCATCTTCCTCCTTCTTATCCTCTGCCATGTCATTCCTTCAACTTGTTCCTAGAGTCCCTAATGGCTGACATGGTGGTGGTGGTGGCGGATGTGGCAGAAACAAGGCTGGTCTGTCTGCCAAAGCCTGCAGGCCACTTGGAGGTGAACGATGCAGCAGAGGAAGAGGAGGAGGAGGAGGAAGATGTGGCAAAGAAACAAGGCTGGCCACCTGCCCACCATGTTGTCTTCCTCATCCTCTGCCACATCATTCATCTTCAAGCAGACCGGAGGCTTTAGTGGGTGGGTGGCCTTGTTTCTTTGCTGCCACCACCTCCTCCTCCTCTGCTGCCTCCATATCCTTCACCTTTAAGCTGCCTGGGGGGCTTCCATTGTCCTAATGGCTGACACAGAGGAGGAGGAAGAGGAGGACATGGCAAAGAGATAAGGCCACCCACCCAACAAAGACCACTGGCCACTTGAAGTTGAACGACGCAGTGGCAGGGGAGAGGCTATGCAGCTGGGCTGCACATTTGCTGATACCAACAGATTGTAGCCTGAGGCCTCCACAGGTGGTGGTGGCATGCTCTGGAGGACTTTTTGGGGTCAAGGAACAATGGGCCCAGAGCTCGCATGTGGAGCGTGACAGCAAAGGAGGACTTTGTGCGGCACTCCGCTTGTCTGTTGTGAGTCTATTTTACTTTTTTTTTACTTGTTGTGAATCTATTTTGCTTATCCTCCCCTCCCAATTCCTTCAAGCCCTCATATTTGATTTGCATCGGCATTTTAAATTGTGAGCCACTTTGAGCCTCCGCGAGGCCATTAGGGACAATGGGACTTGAGGTCCCACTAGTTTGGGTATCCACTGATCCCCACTGTATTACCATATTGTTCCACTTATAAGTCTACCCAGGATTTTGAAATCCATTTGGGGACATAAATTTCTTGAGTTATAGTTGAGTATATGCTGTAGTTTATAAAGATCTCAATCCAAAATTTATCTAATGGTATTTAGGCCTACTGATTTCAATTGACTCTTGCATTGCTTAACTTACTATTGAATTATGGATGAAACAGAACATATCATACATAAACATCATCCAAATGATTACAAACACACATAAGCTTCATCTGAAAAAAGGACAATAAATGTCCCATCCTGGGCGAAGGCAGCATATACATAAAGTAAATAAACAAATAATTGCAACTTTTCACTCTTTCCTATGAAATATTTAATTACCTAAGGACAAATCCTTAAATAGACTGTATTTCACTGCCATCTATTGGATTTAAAAGGAAATGTGCACAAAAGGAAGGAATGTGGATGAGAAAGAGAGACAGACAAATTGACATTCTAGGCTATTCCCTTTTGTTGTTGTTGTTGTTGTTGTTGTTGTGTGTCTTCAAGTCATTTCTGACTTATGGTGCCCCTAAGGCTAACCTATCACAGGGATTTCTTTGCAAGATTTGTTCAGAGGGGTTTTGCCTTTGCCTTCTTCTGAGGCTGAGAGAATGTAACTAGCCCAAGGTGACCCAGTGGAGATTTGAACTTTGGTCTTCAGAGTCCTAGTCCAATGTTCAAACCACTACACCGTACTGATTCTCAGGCTATTCCTACATAATACAAAATATTTCACTCAACAGGTGAGGTGAAAGTGCAATAGAAGAATGTGAAAATCAGGGAGCTAAACAAGAAAGATAGGGTCTCTTTCAAACAAGGCAAGAACAGCAAAAGGAAACTCCAGATTTCATAAAGAGAGTTCACTAGCACCTAGTGACTTAATTATATAACATGATTCAGCAAAACTCTATTTTATTTTATTTTATTTTACATTGTGTATAGGCATGTGAAGTTTGCCGGTGCAAATTTCTTCTTTGTTCTTTAGAGTGTCCCTTAGTACTAAAAGGCTGTTATTTTAGGCATTTATCCACCCAAATTACCAGGGGACTATAAATTGATAAATGTGCAGTGTAGGTGAAGGCAATCTGAGATGTAAGTACAAATAACAGAATCATCTATGCATGCCCTTAACACATTAACAGTCCATTTCATGATTTATAAAAAACAACTTAGACTGAATCCAGGAAGGTTGTATTAATACTAATTCACTTGCTGTAATCTATGGTTAAGATCAGAATTCTATAAGAATCTGTGTGTGTGTATATAGGACTGGGCAGTCAATTTCATTCATATTGGCTTTATGAAGTAATTTTTACTGACTCCACAGTACATGGGCTCTCATGTGCAGGCTCGCACAGAATTTGGAAACATTACTTTATGCATCATGGCCTTTAAATCCTCTATCCAGTAAGGCTGACAGCATCCAATAGTTAGTTGCTATCCTGTAATAAAAAAAAGAACCTATTTACCATGCCATCCGACATTTCACTGGTTAAAACTGGGACAGTTCTGGGCAATAGCAGACAAGCTAGGGGAGACTGCAGCAGATTGGTTTTGCCTGAGCGAACTGGGAAGGGCAAGATTTTTCCCCCTCCTATACTCTTAATCAGGACTGTCCCTTTCTGTTTTTTAAAACTATAGTGTTTGGATTTTATCTTCATTTTTTTTAAAAAAATATTATCACCCAAAACATTTTAGTTGTACAACACACTTTAGATGATAGAAGTACTATATTGAACACAACTCCATCACATTTTTCTACCACCACCATTTCACAAATGAAAATGAACACATGGTTAAACAACATCAGAATATGGTCAAAACTGTTGTTGTTGTGAATTTATTTTATGCTGTTTTAATTAAGATGTTTTAACAGATAACTGGTTTAATACTTTTTCAAGGGGTGGGTGGGTTTGAGGTTGTTGGATTGTATACTGTATGGAATTTTAATTGCTGTTAGCCACCCTGATTGTTGACAGAGGGGCGGGGTATAAATCGTCATCATCATCATCATCATCTTCAGGTTGTTTCTGACATATGATGACTCTAAGATGAACTTATCACAGGGTTTTCCTCGCAAGACTTGTTCAGAGGGGGTTTGCCTTTGCCTTCCTCTGGGGCTGAGAGAGTGTGACTTGCTAAAGATCACACAGTGGGTTTCCATGGCTGAGTGGGGATTCAAAATCTAGTCTCCAAAACTCAAACCACTGTATGATACTGGCTCTCCATGGTCAAGATGGAGAAAATTATTAATGAGGAAGAACACACAAGAAGAGGAGAGGCTGCAGCATTTGTCTTTTGCCTGAACCTACTGGAAGATTCTACTCTTTCCTCTTCTCCCTTGCTGAGTTAACCAAACTGTTTGCAACAACAGAAGTAAGCTAAGGACTAAAGGGATAAATGAGAAGAGGAGAGAGGAGCTAGGACATTTTGAAAACAGCACTTAAAAATCTGACAAGAGAAGATTACTCAAATTGGGACAGTTGAAGGATATCCTGTTTCCCTAAATTTAATTTTCCCCCAACCTTGATTTTTCATCCAAATGTTGGCCTTGAGATCCCATTATCCAGAGTTAGCATGATCATTGGAGACAAGCCAATCCAGTCCAAAGTGCTACTACATATTTCAGCTGGTGTAGCTGGCAGTTCAAATGACTGAAACAGTGACATGGGATATTATCACACGGGGGATGGGATAAGGATGGGATCACTCCTCATCCTTCTCCTGTCCCTGAACCAAGTGTAAGTGATTGCGCAAATCACTTTCACACTGCAGCTGGCTAAAAAGCACTTTCTCCTGCCAGTATTAACAGGTTCTTCTGTTAATACAAAATGACAGGAGAAACAGGAGAAAGTGCTTTTCAGCCTTCTGCAGTGTGAAAATGATTTGCACCATCACTTTCTCTCATGCTTCCCTGCCTGGTCAATGGTGGGTCAGGTGTGAAAGTCTTTCCCACCATCGGATGGGAAGGACTGGACAGGGATGGGACAATAACATTCTGTCCTTCATGTGATAATCTCCATGGTCAATTTTGTATATTAGCCTTCTAAATGGCTTAAAGAAAGTACTGTTTCTCCATTTTGTATAACAGAAAAACTTAGCTTTGATTAATACTAAAGATACAACTCACAGTTATAAGCATTTTTGTGATATGCATTGAACAACAGTAAACATACCTGCAGCTGTGACAGCCAGCAAGAATTGCTTTTTAAAAAACAAACTTGATAAAAAAATTCAAGGAATTGAAACATTGTTAAACAACATGTTTTCATAGGTTTTAGCCACTGTCAAACTTACCCCCATATATATTAGGACTGTCTTCTCAGCAGTATCTAGACTGTGGAGTGTCATTCCCTGAAGTAGAACCTGGAAACATTCCTTTTTAGACTACATTTCCCAGAATCTCATTGCCAACCTTGTCAGCTGGGGAATTTTGAGACTGGTAATCCAAAAACTAATGTCTCCAAGTTCTGCCCCAGAGAAATTTACCTGATGTCTACTTTGTATTTTTTTTTAGCACCAATTGAAGACCTTTAAAAAATCTCCATGGGTTTTTAAGTGATCTGTTTTGAACTTTTATTGGATGTTGAAATTGTCTTAAATTCTCTCTTTATTAATTTGGATCTTCCCCTGCTCTGCTCTTTTTATATTGTAACTGAAAGTTTATTGTGTATACTTGGCCCTTGCCATCCCCAGACTTGCTGTCCACGGTCTTGGTCTTTTGTGGAAGGCAAGTGTCGAGGAACAAAATGGTGTGCATGATCGGGGTGCACATACAACCATTCTAACCAATGGGGCTCCAGTATTTGCAATATTTCCAATTCACAGGGAGGTTCAGAACAGATCCCCTGTGAATCAGAAAAGGACAACTGTATTTCATTTCATTTTTAAAATAAATTTTATCCATACTACCCAGGGAGCCACAATTATGGGGCAGCAAAAAGTGAAGTATAGAATAAAAAAGCAAGCAAGCAACAAAGAAGAAAGGTACTCTCAGAGCAGAGCAGTCTGTTTGGAATAATATTGCTAAAGTCTCCTATTAAACGTTAGGTACATTTCTGAAATGTGAAACCAAAAGGTGGGGGTGGAATAATGTACCACTAGTTCATGATTTTGTAAAACTTACTCCAACAAATTTCATAATGCTTTTGAAATAATGGGACACAATGGTTTTGTTTCAGCTGGTAGGTTTCTCTAAATATCTTTTCTGGGAATAGCACTAGATGTCACTAATTGAGAATTAGTGGTGTAGGTGGCTTTTTCCTGTTGAATATTGTGTTAAAAGTGTTTGATTTGGCAATATGTTGTAAACTTAGCACTGGCAGTGCATGTATTTTGAAAAACTCTACTCAAGAGTTTAGTTGAAAATGTGGTAAGATGTCCATGCTCCACAGGTTATAGCAGTTTGAAACAACTTTTAACTGTTATGGTTCCACATTATGGTATCCTGTGATGTGTAGGTTTAATTTAGTTGCACAGAAGTCTCTAATAGAGACCTCTATTGCAGAATTCACATTTCATTAGCTGCATACTCTATGTTATCTTAAAAAGCAGTTTCATGTAGAGTGCATTGTTGTTGTGCACCTTCAAAGGTGAACCTATCACAGGGTTTTCTTGGAAAGTTTCTTCAGAGGGAGATTTGCCATGCCATCCTCTGAGACTGAGAGAGTATAACCTGCCCATGGTCACTTCATGGGTTTACATGGTCAAACCAGAATTCAAACCCTGGTCTCCAGAGTCATAGCCTAATGCTCAAACCACTATGCCACACTGGCTACAGTAGTTTAAAAAGGAAGGTACCAGTGCATAGACTACTGTGACTGTCCAGTAAAGGCTACAGCTGGAGAGCACAGCCATTGAATAGGTAGGCCAAACCTTCAATTCTGACTCCAACTCTGACTATTTTCTTTTTCTATTATTTGATCCCCACATCTGTCTCCAATTCTGACTCCTTCATAGATGGCAAATGTATATTAATTATTAATAACAAACTTACTGTAGCAAAATAGTAGTGAGAGCCAGTGTGGTGTAGTCATTTGAACATTGGACTATGACTCTGGAGATCAGGGTTTGAATCCCTGGTCAGCCATAGAAATCCACTGGGTGAACTTGAGCAAGTCACATTCTCTCAGACTCAGAGGGAGGCAAAGGCAAACCCCCTCTGAATAAATGTTGCCAATAAACTTCAATGATAGGTCTACCTTAGGGTTGCCATCAGTTGGAAATAACTTGAAGGCACACAATAACAAAAATAGTAGTACAAGGCATTTCATCTCCATGGCATGAATCATGAAGCTAAGATTGAAAGGACATAAAATATATTTATTAGGTTAAAATTTCTGAACAAGGAAACTTTCCTAAATTCCTATGAAAGTAAATACACAATAAACTAGGCATTTAATATGGTATTTTTATTATTATTATTCTGAGGCCAGAGTTGGAGTCCAGCTGCAACTCTGATTCTGACTCCACACAAAATTGCTTCCAACTTCAACTCCAAAGCCCTGGTTGGAGGGCTAACTAAGGGCCTTTGCAGACTGGTAGAAATAGTGCAAATTGAGTCCAC